AGCTATTTGTAGAGGTTTTAAAACGACAATTAGTTCGTTTATGAGTGTCCATTTGCATTCTGTTATATCGAGTTGCTCAGCAGTAGAGCGGGAAACAATATTTCTATTAGCTAAAACGTTTTCCATGGGAACCCTGTTTTGAAGCAAACGATTAAGCATAAAGTATATTGAATTCCATCGTTTAGAGCAACTTTGAATTAGTTTTAAAATTGATAATCCGAGTGCTTTTTATTGCTCTTCAAGTGCGTTGCTTGCTTTATACGAATGATGGAACAGAGATACGATTTTCTTAACAATACAAAAAATCTGATGTATTTTGGGCTCAAACCTTCTTTTATGCTGAATTGTAGAATATGGACTACACAGGATACTCCTGATTTTACTTCAGCATTGATATTTTTAAGAGTTCCAAGCATATTTGCTGCATTATCGGTGATAACCGCCATTATTTTGTCCGTCAACTCCCACTCATTTAAAATCGAGTTAATTTTATTAGCTAAGTTTGTACTTGTATGCGCTTTGTCCATAACCGTCGTAATTAAATTATAAGACTTTCCTTCCCATTTGTCATTTAAAAAATGAGCATTTACTATGGTATAAGAGTCTTCCGATCTTGAGGTCCAGCAGTCGGTTGAGAAAGACACCGATAATGCAGTATTTAATTCTGTTTTAATTTGCGAGTTTACATCGTCATAAGCAAGCATTAATCTTTTTTTGAATGTTGTTTCACATGGCACTTTATAATTTGGCTTGATTAATTTCATAAAATCACGAAATCCGGTACTATCAATGAATGAAAGCGGTAGTTGGTTCGACACTACCAATTTTACCGAAGCTCTGTCGAGGAGTTCAGCTCTTTCTGCACTACATGGCCGTGAAATATCATTAACTTGTCCATAGATAAGTAACTTTGACGAACTACTCGACTAACGACGTTTCGTACTAATATTTTTGGCTGCTTGATTATTCAGGGTATATTCATTTAATGTACGCGACGATGACGAGCTCGCAATTCGGTTCGGATCTTCATAAGATTCGTCATTCTCGAGCGTGTCGTCGGTATGACTAAAAGGAAAGGAACGGAGTTATATCAGTCGAATGTAATTGTATATATTGCTACTAAAATATTAATTTATTATGCAATTATCTCTTTATATTATTATGTATAATATTGTAAAAATTATATATATTATAGAAGACTTTCCGAACCTGCGTTTTCTATTTTCTGTATTGTTTTCAAACATGCCATGGACAAATCGTAAATGTTTATTTACTGAAGATGTTGAGCCTTTTGTTTGCAATACCACATCGCATATATTGCAAGTTTCTGTTAAAGCATCTACCGAACGTTCACAATATTTCCACACCCAACTATTTAACATCTTGTTCTCGCTAAATTTTATACACGAAAAGAATATTTATTAAGGTCGTAAAGGATTTGAGTACGCGCCCTTAAAAAGCGCCATGTAATCCCGAGGGGAACATTAATAAATAATAATAATAATAAAGAATATTTATTCATCTCTCCGACCGTTAACACGCCTGATAGCGCCAAGCTCAGAGACAAATAGCAAGCGAGATTTACAATATTACTTACGATATCCTTGCGTTTTATATTTTTACCCAAACTAGTTTTAAATCCAAACTCCCGGCAATTGTAATCTTGCATTACGTATCGCTGTCGACTCTGCCGCGAATTTAGATCCGGATCCGATGTTTCAATTGTTCGTATCTCATTTATCTCATGCATCTCATCGTATCTCATTACGCGGATTTGAAATCTCAGATCGGATCCGATCTCGGATACCCGGATAATCATTTATTCGGATGTTTAGGAACCCTAATGACGATTCATACTTGTGCCGCGCAGTGACTTATCGCACTTGATCGATAAAAATATATTCGAACAAAAATAACGCATCTCACATCTCTTGTAAGGAAGAAATAAGATAAAAATATAAAAGACTGTTTTTTTTTAGTAACAGGTAGGAAATGCCTATGCATATCACTGGCCTTTTAGAAAAGATCAAGGGTTTATGTCGGACTCGTACCGACTAAAACCTTCTCGAGTGTTCTATCTCAACCGTAACCCTAAGGGCGTCCCGAGAATTGTTTGCGCATAACATTCTGGACGCCCTCCGGTCAGACGTTATCGCACGTCCCTTCCTAAACTAATTGCAGCGGAGAGAAGATACGAATACCCCCCGCCGTTCCAACCAAAACAAAAATTATCAAAACAAAACAAAAAATACATGTTAATTTAAACAAAGTGTAGATGTTTTAAATTAATTTAATTAAAAAAAGAAGTAACATTAATATTATTAACCAAGTATGTATGTACGTAAGTATTTATTACACAAGTAATTATATGATAAATATATTTTGTGATATTATAATGTTCAGATATTTTGAATAAAAAAAAAATTTTTTAAGACAGTTATGTCTTATGTCAATGTTTTATGTTAATTTGTTGTTTTCTATATCTACATAGTTAGGGCACATCATCCCCAATAGCATATATTAGTTTCACATACGTTTTTTAAACGTATTATTACAGGCGCGCGTATGCTATTTAGCATCTTTATCATTACAATGATCTTTTAAATTACCTTATAAAATTACCTTATTCTTACCCTTATTTTAAATAACATGCTTCTCTCTTTGTCTGCCTTTTCTTTTTCCTTTTTCTCCTCTATTCTTCTGTTCTCTATTCTCCTATTCTTATAATTTATATCTCTTCTGTATTCTTTTCTTCATGAGCTAATTAACGCGATGACAGTTATTTGCCTGGTAATTTGACAGGCGCAAACAACACGAAGCAAGCCCCAGCCCACATGAAGTGAGCTAAGCGAGGGAACCAGTCAGCATCGCGGAAAAGCGGCAACAATTAAATCTCTTACATGCCTTTTTTTTAGAGTGGACTAGCATACAGCCTTCCATTTCCTTTCTTAATATTTCATTACACTTTAATTACGACGCGAAAAACTCACACATAAACCTATAATCCACATTGTGTCTCCCAGTCTCTCCCTGTCTCTCCCTGTTTTTCTCTGTCTCTCTCCCTCTCTCCCTGTCTCTTCCTGTCTCTCTCTGTCTTTCCCTATCTTTCCCTGTCTCTCCCCGTCTCTTCCTGTTTCTCCCTATCTCTTTCTGTCTCTCCTTGTCTCTCTTTATCTCTCCCTGTCTTCCCCCGTCTCTGCCTGTCTCTCCCTGTCTTTCCCTGTCGCTTCCCATCTCTCTCCGTCTCTCCCTGCCTCTCCTGTCTTTCCCTGTCTTTCCCTGTCTCTCACACACAAACCTGTAATCTGCATTCACATTCGAGTACAACCATGGGTGTAGTATACATGTGTGTGTGTTATGTGTTTAAACAACACAGCTGCGGTTGTAGATGTGTTGAAACAACACACGAAGTGCATTGATCTACACATGAATTCTGTGTCACAGTGGATAACACACTTTATGTGTGTTAAAACTGCAACACGGTAAATTGAATGCATATAATGTGTGTAAAAATAATGCAGGAATCGCAGAATAACACATTTAGAAAAAACCACATTACTAGAGTTACACATGAAACCTCGCAGTACTCAAAACGAATGAATAAGAAAATATGTGGATAATATTAATGATGTGATGAATGTAGTTGTCACTGACAAATATTTTTACATTTAGTCTGCAGAAAGCATTGGCTATTATACAGGTGATAAAATAGTAGAATTTATTATTTATTGTTATATTATTATTATTATATTATTTTATTATTAATATATTATTTATTATTTATCATATTTTTATTATCTAAACAGTTTATGTAACGTCTACGACGTTATATGGGAAAGAAAGTGTCGTGAGCATGAAACGTCAGATAGCTCAGTGGTTTAGTACAGCGTCCGTCAAGCGAAAAACCCAGGTTCGAGTGTCAGCATAGCTAGCAGCAAACCGCGCTTTGGGTATTTTTCTCTCTCCGGATCGAAAAGAAGACGCAGGTCCGGCCATGACGTTTCCCATCACTACTACCTTTAATACGTCCTAGTAAAATGCATATATAAGTCGTATATGCATTCAGCTAGCAGAACACGAATCATACGTGTCTATAGAACACAGTTTTCGTGTGTTATATCTACACGTTTCTTGCAAATCTACACACTTTCTTGTGTGTTGCATATTTACACCCCTGTAAGCGTGTCAAAAACGACTACACGGATTACACACGTAAAATGTATTAATGTAACACACTTGTTTTTACAGTGCACTCACCGCGAAAAAACATTAACAGCTTACATGTACACATTACAAGATATTGTTATCATAGTTATTTGTTAGTAATAAACGGAATAGAAAATTGAGCATCTCTGTTTATTATCGCAATCTCCTTCCCATGCAAGCGAGCGAAATTAATCGATTCACGAACAAAAATTAATGCAACTTCCACATAGATACTAATGTATGTATGTCGCGTGCGCGTGCGTGCAGATGTGTGTATATATGTACGTTTGATTTCAATATGGTTTAAACATTTTTTCGGTGCAGTTCGGAATGTAGCCTATAATCCTAATGGGAAAATTTGATTTATGATTAGTTCCTAGAAATTCTCTTATTGGACCATTGGCTGCGTTTCAAATTGCATCGGAAAAAAAGTGTTCAAGCCGTGTTCGGGAATCGAACGGATTGTTTCGCCGATTCGTCTTGTCCAGAGATAATGTTGAAGCACGTGATCTCAACGTGAGCAGCTTGCCTCACGACGCGTGCCGTGCGCAAACCTCACACGTTAAGTGTCTCGGTGCGATGGTCAAAACAACCCGGACACAAACACCGATTCCGCGAATCGGCAGCCGGCACGCACCAAGGAATTGCGCGTGCCTGTTTCGATCCTTTTAAGGAGAATAGGCTTGCAGCGGAAAAAAATGCTCGAACGGTTGTGTCCAATCCGCGAGCGCCAGAGCACGGCCGAAGAACCGCGAAATGTACGGGTTTGTAGCAGCAAGCGGTTGGAATCCGAGCAGTCCGCAATGTTTCGCCTTTGAACCGGCACGCTAACTCGCTTCTCTCTTCTCCATTCGTGCACTGTAAGAACAAGTGCACTATAAAAACAAGTGTGTTACATTAACACATTTTACGTGTGTAATCCATGTAGTCGTTTTTGACACGCTTGCAGGTGTGTAAATTATGTAACACACAAGAAAGTGTAAGGGTATCAGGTCGGAGTAACTAACGATTTTCCAACTCGATACATCGAGAGCGCTGCCGAAGTCGATAAGTCGATAAGTGAAAAGAAAGAGGTAGGAGAGACGGAGTCTTACAAGTGGGAGAGAGGAACAAAAAGGAGCGGGCAAAGAGTTTGAGACAGACACGGAATATACACGGGAAGAGAGAAGCGCAAAAGGATCGTGAGAAGAGATATAGAAAAAGTCGAAAAACCGTGTTAGTCGAATAGTCGATAAGATCCCAGGGAATATTCGAGCTCAAGCGAATATCTCCTTAACGGATTAGTTTAAAAGGCGTATATTTAGATGTAAGAGTTCGTGTCATATTTTGTATAAGTGTTTATTGGGTAAAAATACATGTACAAGTGTGTTTCGAAAAACTCATTTATTCATTACGTACACCACCAACTTCCTAGGAGGCGACGAGACGGTCGTACTGGCGATTTTAAGAGGAAATCGTAACTGTCTTACAAAAGTGTGTAGATTTGCAAGAAACGTGTAAGTATAACACACGAAAAATGTGTTCTATAGATACGTATGATTCGTGTTGTGCTAGCTGAATATATATATGTGTACGACTTATGTATGTATTGTATTAGGAGGATATTGTATTAAAGGTAGTGATGGGAAATGCCGTGACGGTCGGACCTGCGTCTTCTTTTCGATCCGGAGAGAGAAAAATACCCAAAGCGCGGTTTGCTGCTAGCTATGCTGGGACTCGAACCTGGATTTTTTTTCGCTTGCTGGGCGCTGCACTAAATCACTGAGCTATTTGACGTTTCATGCTCACGACACTTTCTTTCCCATATAATGTCGTAGACGTTACATAAACTGTTTAGATAATAAAAATATGATAAATAATAAATAATATATTAATAATAAAATAATATAATAATAATAATATAACAATAAATAATATATTCTACTATTTTATCACCTGTATAATAGCCAATGCTTTCTGCAGACTAAATGTAAAAATATTTGTTAGTGACAACTGCATTCATCAAATCATTAATATTATCCACATGTTTTCTTATTCATTCGTTTTGAGTACTGCGAGGTTTCATGTGTAATTCCTGTAAGTGTGTAACTCTAGTAATGTGTTGTTTTTTCTAAATGTGTTATTCTGCGATTCCTGCATTATTTTTACACACATTATATGCATTTAATTTACCATGTTGCGGTTTTAACACACATGAAGTGTGTTATCCACTGTAACACAGAACTCATATGTAGATCAGTGCACTTCGTGTGTCGTTTCAACATATCTACAACCGCAACTGTGTTGTTTAAATACATAACACATCAAATTAGTGAATTGTGTATTGTTTTAACACACCTGATAACACGCCTGTTTTTACAGTGTGATTGCTGCTAAGAAGTTTCGCCGAGTACTCTCTCATTGTATCGGTTGGGCGGTCTCATTCTCTTCGATAGTCGGATTTCTCTCGTCTTATTTTGGTCGGCTGTCGTTGCTCGTTTAGTTTGCTACCCGCTCTTGCGACTCAACAGGAATCTTTCGATCACTGCTCCGCTGACGCAGCTCGCGCACGTCTCGCGTCCGCGTCATCGCTTCTAATGCCTCACAAGACTTGGGGAGCGGAGTGAATTGGCCGCGGCTTTGAGACAATTACACGTCGTAAATCGCGCGCGGTTTATTCGTTGTCGTATCGTTTCTCCGTGAGGAGAAGCCGATCCGATATCTCGTTTGCCGTCGCTCGCAGGCGATCGTCGTCGCCGTCGGCTCGTGAACAATTCTTGTAAATTATGCGCCGTTTGAATTAGTTAGTGGAAACTGACGATTCGACGCCGATTCTCGACGATCTCCGCGTTGAGTCAATACAAAGTCTAGAAGTGGTGATTAATGACAGACTGCGAGCGTGATGGGCCGCGTTCAAGAGTAAAGTGCCCTTTAGATTCTTGTGCTGGCGAAATTGAAACTTGTGCTGACTTGTGTTAGGCTAGCACAACTCAGATATATAATTGTATATCGTTTGGTTGACTTATATGAGTGTAAATCTTACTTTTATTCTATTTGCCTAAAATCGTTTTTTTCGTTTTATTTCTTTCGTGATTATTTTTCGAAGATACTACTTTAGCACAATGTTAGCACAACTTAGCACAACCTAACACAATAAAAAAAATTTCGAAAATCGAAAAGTGGGGGGTTACCAAAAAACGATTTTTTCCATTTTTCTTGCTCATTTTTCGTATTAAAAATTTATAATTCAAGCACAATGTAGCACAAACCTAGCACAAATCAGCACAACTGTCAAAATTATTAAATTTGAAAAGTGGGGGGCTAACTTCATACAGGCGACTGGTCGCGAGAGGAACGTCTCTTGAACCTGGAAGCTATAAACGCGCGACTTTATAAAGTTACTCAAATTTTCCTTGCTGGCGAGTTTTAAAGTAAGTCACATAGCATTTCGTTAATATTACGTGTAATGTTAAAAGAAAGGAGTATTAATAAAATAGACAGTAGTCCCTCCCTCTCTCTCTCTCAATCTTTTGTCTCAATGATCTCAATGAATGAACAAATGAAAGATGAACTTAATACTTCGTCGACTTTATCGACGTATAATATATCTAAAATTATAACACGTGGAACGACGCGCATACCACTGTCAATTGTCTGTGTCAGTTTATGTATGTACGGGAAAATGTCTTCATTAACATTAGATGCTTAAGATATTCTATTTAATGATTTATTTATTTAATGCTTAGTTTTTACTTTAGTATAAACTAGTTTATACTTTAGTATAAATTAGTTTATACTTTAGTATAATATATACTAGTATATTAGTATATAGTACATAATATTAGTATATAGTACATAGTATATAATATTTATATAGTATAGAAAGTATAAACTAAGCATTAAATAAATCTGGCTCGTGCAAACCGTTCGTCTTTTATTTTGGAAATGTTAACAAAATTTTTAAAAGCAACCTTTCCCAAGCAACCTTTCGTACAATAATTAGAACATATCAGTAATAAAAAGAATTGATTTCCAATTATCATCCAATGGACAATTATCCAGTCGACAAAGTGTCAAGTCATTTCCGTAATATAACATCTGGTAACTTTCAAATTGACAAGTTGAGCCCAATATTCATTGCTCCTTATTTACAATTTGTTGTCACGCGCGGTATATTACGATTACCTATACATATCACGTGCGTCTCACGCGTCGTGAGCATACGATAGAAGTCGACCAGAGCGAGTCATCGCTTTTTGCTTTTAATATCTTTCGGTTTTACGTCGAAAAATCATCGTGTGCGTTGTAAGATTTGCGTTGTCGAAAATTAAGCTGTTTTGACGTGTCATGCCTGACATTAAATAAATCTGTATCAGTAAGAAACAAATATTTATTTGATTAATATTAAACTTACATATCTATTGCGATATTCCAGTATTGTACAACTCATTGTTTAATTTTTATTGCAATTTTGTCAAATCTTAAAATGTTACAATCACGTTACAGTCATTTACGCTCGAAAAGTAAAAAAAAAAAAAAATGTTTCATCATATAAAATATCGATTGTCCAACAACTCATCACGATACAACGAGAACGCGATATATATATCGCGATATATAATCCAGGAATTTTTCAATATATGTTTTGCGCAACCTACAATGAACGCACTATTTTCTCTCGTTCCACTTATGCACATGTATCACTCCTAATGTAAAAGTATAACGTAAATGTACTAAGTCTTACACGATAAGGACAATGACGATATTAATGGAAACGTTATTAATTACGAGGATGAAGATAGCGATGAAGTTGACACCAGCTGTAACTTAAATATGCTGCGAATTATTTATAATGCGCCGCCTATCGATTCTCTAGCTGTAGTTGGCTCACAGGATAGAGGTGAGATAACGAGATACTCTGAGTGAGAATATTAGTTAAGTTTTGATTATATGTCTCGAACGTTTACATAATATACAAATTTATTCTGAGTATCAGTACGAGATACACGTCATTTCTGCAAGTAAGGAGAATTCATATTAACATTCGTGTAAGAAGTCATTCGCGATTAACTTTAAACTTTATCTATTAATGGGTCCACTAATAAAACAGTACGTCCGTAATCATAGCCGCGTTGATAGAGAATTAACTCGGCGAATTATCCATCGCTAATACTTTGACGTTGTAAGTTGTTGTAAGTGTTCTCGACCTCTCTATCGAACGTCACTAATGTAGTAATGATGCCAGTTTGGCTGTCGATGGCGAACAGATTCTTAAAGTTGTCCAACTCGTAATGGAACTCTTTTAAAGGAACAAAAAGACAGAGAGACACAGTATGATTAAGGGGGGAAACTTATCTATAAGCAAAAAATAGGTTATTTTCACGAATTTTTTTCTCGGAAACTAAGCAGACGATTGATTTAAAACTTGATAAAAATAATAATATATATTTAATTTATAAGTATAAATTTTTATAGTTTTATATGAATAATAATGTAGGAGATACACAAAAACTAACGTGACGTGTTTAGGCGTGTGCTGTTTCATGGCTCTCATGAAATCTCGAGGTACGGTGAACTGAAACAAAAACGCAAGTAAGATAATTAATCTACGATCTTACCGCTATCGTCTAAAGTAGAGAAATAAAAAACGAATTACTTTTCAACAATTTTGAGATATTTAAAAATTATATTTAAAAAATTGTCATAAGAAATCGACAGATTTACGTTAGAAATAAATATAAAAAATTAATTTTTTAAAATTTCGCTATTTCACATGATAAAGAGACATGTTTCAAATATGTAACTGTATGTTGAAGTCGATCGGTTCATTAGTTTGTTTCAAATCGTGGGAGTCAATTGGAGAAACATCATTTCAAGAAAAATGCGTTTAAAGTTTCAATTACTATTCAATCATATATTTCTAGTACTCACATAAGTTTCAGCCTAATTGGTAATTCCAGGTCCATATAATAAATTCTTTTCGACTTCATAAAACTCATTTTATGTTGCTCGTTCATTTCTACAAGTTGTTCGAGCTTGCTAGAAGTCTCTGCTGCTACGAGTCGCGTGTTTCTGTCATTGTCTGTCTCGATATTCGACGTACTTACGATATTCCGGTCCGATGACTATGCCTAGAATGGACATAATTTGTAAAATTGTTGAAGAATCTTCATTAAAAACAGAAGCGGCCAGAAAGCTGTTATTTGCAACGTTTTGAAACCACAATGAAAATGCTTCGGCGCCAAGCGCCAAATTGTTGCGTTGAAGTTTTCATTGACGTTTTGAGATTCACCTCCTAAGCACCGTTGCAGAAGATCTCTTGATAAATCAGCATATATTGATTTAAAAAATGAGATAAATTCTGCTGAAAGCGGCAGATCATGAGAAAACGTATTCCAACAATTCTGCAGCCTCTGCGCGCCGGTATCTGCACCGACTTTCGGCACCAGGTGGACACAAGTCGTACTAAGGATTCTCGTGGATAGAGTATAAATGTTTTATTGTAGCATTAATAGCATTTTTCATGCTCTCTACACTGTCAGAGTTTTTTCTTATAGCTAATCCATAATAATTGGAAAGCTTATTAATTATATTGATTGACAGCGTCCATTTCTTCAATTCTCCTCTTTTTTTTTAATTGCGCAAACGAGAGTCCATCCTTTTGTGTACATGATCGATGTCCTCACATTTGGTAATAATTACGTCTTTACCGTAAGGCTGCATATCCATAAGAGTTTATGCGTATTGCAGTCACCATCTCCGATGTATGTTGTGTATCTCACGCCATATCGTTCTATGGATCTGTCGAACATTTTCTTCACTGCCTCGACTTCCATCCCTTCTGCAGAATTATAATGGTTGGCCGTGCACTCTTCCTCGTACTCTTCAGTCCATACTTCAAATTCTTTTTCATTCATGCGCTTTTTGGCTTTTTTGTAGGTTAGGCAGAAGCTGGATTTGACAACGAGATCTACAACTTTGTCAATATATTTGCCAATCAACATTGTCACTCCAAATAAAGAATTAAAACCTTTTCCCGAGCAAAAATGTATCTAGCAGAGTAGATTTCAAGACTAGTGCCTAGATAGTAATGACTAGATAAGTTCTTTAGCCAGTCACTAGCTCGCGACTGGCTAAATATTCCTACTCAATCTTTTGAATGTCAGGACTATCTAGTAACTATACCAATTAGATAGATAGATAGTGGCATAGATAGTGGCTAGATAAAAAAGATTACACAGTAACGAGATAGAAAATCATCGGTCAATCCTGAATAGAAATTGGATATCAGAACTGTCTAGTACTTATACCAATTGTAGTTACAAGTTATTTTTTTATCTAGCTACTAGATAATTTTTTTGGTACAACCATTAGGAGAAGTAAGCGTTACATTCCTAGCTAGTAGCAATGTAAGACCCAACTTTTTTGTGTCATTACTAGACAATCACTAGATTCAATTTCTGGTCGGGTTTTTTTCCACGACCCATTTTTCACCAGAGACTATCAAATCCATCGGCGGCTTATGCAAAGAGTTCACTTTTTTTTCTTCTTCAACTGCTTTCTTTGTCAATAAATTAAAGACGTTGCTAGACGCACTGTGCAGATTTTACAAGGCAGCTTCGTAAGCGCTATTTGATAATCCTTGGCACAAATCCATGAAATCAGAAGAAATTCAAACCTTCTTTGGAGATACCTAACAATATCATCACCATGACAAGTCGTCGATTAATTTCGAAGGCTTGGTTTCGCTAATTCTTGAACATGAGTCTATGGTTTTCACACCGCACACGCAAGTTACCGCAATTTTAAATCCTAGCCCGCAATGCTCACTTTCGCCAAACTATACATTCTTCTTGCACTCTCGACAGATTATCATCTGCGAGATTGCTGCAAAAACGGGAACAAAATTTATAAATCGATAGCCGTGAGAGGTATGTGTGATAAACGCATCTTCACTCGAATACGCTGTTGCTGATGTTCGCACGAACTCTGTTTTAGGCTTGATGGTGCTCCTGTTTCTACCAAATTTTTTTTCCGCGACCGATCTGTACGTACACATTATATTTCGATTATATTACGATTTTATTACGTTCTTTATCCATCTTCAGATTATACGTACGTACGAACTGAGATTCGAATGACCACTGAGCGATAAAAAACAAAATTAACTTCTAGATTAGTGATTACTTGGAGCACGTTACTACATGTTACGACTGGTTTCGGTATTGACAAATACTCCTGAGATTTTTTATCTTCCTTGGGTTCGTAGATTATTATTATAGCCATTATATGACGAACTTTGAAAGGTCCAGTAAGCTCTTATTTTGATCTACGCGCCACTTCAAATAATAAGTTGTAATTTCCGTAATTTTCTGGATTTTTTGATATGGATCTAGGATAAATTCTTAACAATATGACACAGTATTTTCAGAAAATGTAATAACAGAAATCGATTCTTTTATTGGGTGTACAACTTAATTCGGTCCGTTTTTTTGCTTGAAAAACGCATTTATTTGAATGATAAAATGAATTAATACATTATTGAAAGTATTGTCCATCGCTAGCCACTACTTTTTCCCATCTTTCTGGCAATTTATGGATTCCGTTGCGGAAGAAGCGTTCATCTTTTGAAGCCAAGAATGAATCGAGCCAATTTTTTATATCCTGTTTTGAAGTGAAGTGTATTCCAGTCAAAGCGTTCTGCATCGATCGAAACAAATGGTAGTCGGAAGGGGCAAGGTTTGGGCTATAAGGCGGGTGAACCAGAACTTCCCATCCGCTATTTTCCAAATAGTTTTTAACCGGAACAGCAACATGAGGCCGAGCGTTGTCATGGTGAAAGATTATGGATTCGTGTCTGGTCGCATATTCTGGACGTTGTTCGGCTATAGCTCGCTTTAAACGGATCAATTGTCGCCTGTAGAAGTCTCCCGTGATGGTTTGACCAGGTTTTAGCAGCTCATAGTGGATCACACCCTTCTGATCCGACCAAATACAGAGCATTACCTTGGCATCATGGATATTCGGCTTCGGCGTTGATGTTCCCGGTTGGCCGGGCTTTACATACGATTTTTTGCGTTTCGGGTTGTCGTAGTGAATCCATTTTTCGTCCCCGGTAATGATTCGATGCAGAAAAGACTTCTTTTTGTACCGTTCAAGCAACATTTCGGACATGCAAAATCGTCGTTCGATATCTCTCGGTTTCAATTCGTATGGGACCCAATTTCCTTGCTTTTGGATGTATCCCGCGGCTTTGAGTCGTTTCGAAATAGCTTGTTGAGTAACTTCCAATGTTCTTGCGAGCTCTTTTTGCGTTTGACACGAATCTTGATCGAGTAATGTTTCTAATTCTTCATCTTCAAACTTTTTCGGTTGACCCGAACGCTCTTTGTCTTCAACACTAAAATCACCACTTTGAAATCGTCGAAACCATTCTCTGCAAGATTTATCCGACGGTGCAGATTCACCATAAACTTCCACAAGCATTCGATGCGCTTCAGCTGCACTTTTCTTCCAATTGAAACAGAAAATCAAAATTTCCCGCAAATGGTGCTTATTTGGAACGAAACTCGACATTTTCAACGCAGTAAAAATTAAACTTGTTGTGCAAAACTCAAAGGCTTGTAAACAATATTTAGTTGGCAGATGTTGACACTTCACGATACAGCAAAAATCAGCTGTCGCCGTCAACCATTTATAGCACCTATAGCCATCTTTTGAAAACGGACCGAACTAAGTTGTACACCCAATACCTTACAGACAGTTTTCTTCCCTTAACGACATTCAAGAGAAAATGCTTCATACAAATCAGATACATATTACTCATAAATTTTAATAGAGAAAGAAAGCGTAACGTAGCATGATAGACAGCGCACTGGTGTATCACTCTAAGATTCCCTGCAAAATCGAAAAATATTATATGCTAACGTCTCTTCTCGGAAAGCAACGACAAATTAACGAGAGTACCTTGCTCAAAATATTTCAAAAATCAATAACTAGATCAACTGCCGTTCGGAATCGGCGTTAAACTGTAGGTTCTATACTTGTGTATAATCAGCACGAATACCACAAGACATATGAGAGAGAAGTCGCTTATGCGTTGATAAGCCTATGGCACGCAAAGAAGAATTCTAATACCTGATTGTTATCGCTGGTCCCGTTGGCATTTATAGCTTGCACTCGAATCACAGGCATTCCTTACGGCTAGTTATCCATTATGCTTCTCTTCTCAATATTAAAAAGTGGGATGTCGTCCTTCACTTCGAGAACTTCGATTTTAACCACAATTTCGGCGGCTAATTCATTTTTATTTTGCACCCGTATTATCAACGAGTACATCCTATTTCTTTCGAAATCGAGGTGCTCGGAGAGCTTGATGTCCGCCACGTCATTATTCGATTCCAACCTAAAAAATGAAACACATTTAAGTATGTATTTATATATCGCTTATGGTCGTCGGAATTTTTCGCTCCAGATTTGTATGAAATGAGGAAAAGCAGCGAATCGATGGATACCTAAAGGTATTTTCCTTGTTAGTCTGTTCCGTAGTGCCGGTGACCAATTCGAAGTGTAGATACGAATTCTCCGAGTTGTTCGAGTCGTTGACGTTAGAAACCGCTTTAAGACGAACGATGCTGGCATCAAAATCGCTAAAATTCTCAAAGAGCTCAATCGGTGCTGTTGGCCAAGATAGAAAAGTTGGGGCCTCCTTGTACGGCTCCACCACACGTATTTCAAGATCAACGTGGGTGATCAATGTAGGCGTGCCGAGGTCCGTCGCTATGGCTATCAGGTTGAATTTATAACCTGGATCGCGCTGCGTAAGAATTGCTATTGTGAGTAATTTATTTATTTATTTATTTTGTTAAGTGAACTCGACTAAAACTTGAGCTTGCTTGAAGAAATGGATCGATATAGGTCGCGCTTCGCGCATATATTTTAACTTAGGCGATGCTATTTTTAGAATTACATTTTTAGAATAGCTTGTGTACTTTAGAAATAAATTAACAAGTTTGCCTTCCCCGATAGCTCAACGGATAACTTCTGTGTAATATATATTTCTGCGCATATATAGGGTGTCCGGTATACTTACAGAAGAGTCGCGGTACATGTGGATTAGGTCAAACTAAACAAAAAATTTCTCTACCATTTTGCGAAAAACTACGTAAAATTCTAAGTTATTAAAAAAAATTTGTGAATGATCACGTGTCAGATGAGCTATGATGGTGACGTCGATATGTGCTTGTATATTAGATTAAACAGAACAAAAAAGTCCTTTACTATTTTCCAAATGACCAAATAAATGTAAATGTGAGTGTTTAATTATTAATGAAAGAAAATCGGTGTACAGTTGTGCAAAATAATGCACCAATTTTCTTTGATTAATAACTAAATATTTACGTGAACATTTGAAAAATAGTAGGGGACCTTTTCGTTCAGTTTGACCTAATATACAAGCATACAGCAGCAGACGTCGCCATCATAGCTCATCTACCGTATGTTATCATTCATGAATCTTCTTAATTAATAACTCAAAATTTTACGTAGTTGTTCGCAAAATAGTAGAGAAGCTGTTTGTTCAATTTAATCTAATCTATCTGTAACACCGCAGTTCCTCCGTGAGTTACTGTATATAGGGTATCCGGTAACTGATCGAGCAACCGCCGTATACGGGTAGAACGGGTCAAAATAATCATAAAAGTTATATACCATTTTGAAATTTTCTCAATATTTATTCCGTAATTAATTAAAATGTATAAACGAATGAGCTTACGAGAAGCGGTAGGACAGGCTCTGTGTGTAAAAGAAATGGCTTACCTCTTAGCAACGATAAATAAACAGCGTCTTGCGCGTTACTTACATCTATAGGTCTCTTGAGGTATATGACGCCGCTCCAGCGGTCGATCCGGAAATAGCGCAAATTATCTATTGTCTTAGACCCCAGAGAGTAATGTATAGTGGCATTTTCACCGGCGTCGAGGTCGACGGCGGAGACTCTCATGACTTTGTGATTGACGGGCAAGTCTTGCGGCACGGATTCCGTGTACGTCTGTATGTGTAACAATGCATTAAACAGAGGGGTGTATGTAGTGGCCAATTGACGGCCTGCCGTCATGTAATTTTCAAAATGCACTTAGCGTGATATATTCCATGCAATTTTTGAATGAATCGTGCTCACAATGCCTTCTCATTCTTAATATATTACGTACATGATAACTATACTGTTCAATACGGAGGATGGAGAATAGGAAACGTGAGGGCTCGTCATCGTTCTAGAACGATGAGCGGGACGATTATCTCTCGTCGCGGTTATTATCAATCGACGAGAAGTTTTTCTTATCTGTATGTTGTAGACTTGCGGATTCTTCCAGTCGGTTTGCAGAAAGTCGCGCGGTGAAATAAATAGGTATCTTTTCAAGCGCAAGAATCAAGAAATCTCGTTCGATATGTGGAAATCAAATAGTAGTTAATTTCGCGAGGTACCCGCAAACTGCTAAAAGGGGAAACGAAAAAAAGGACGATGATAAAGGAATGTGAGACACTCGTCTTATTTACATCGAACAATACACCACAAACACAAGACCAACCTTCCACGTGTGCCCACGAAGATCTGGGATTGGAGTGAAACAAAAAAAGAGAGAGATTGAAGCAGTACTTGTTAGTAGCGGTAGTGGATAGAGTCGAGTGACACCGATATGTTAGTTTATTAAAAAAAAAAAAGGATTTTTCAGATGTAGTATAAACGTACAGAGTGCCACCATAATTCTATGACCCGCGGGGTTTTATTTATTCATGAAATCAATTACGCACGCAAAATATGCATAACGGAACGGAGCATGTGTCGGCGCGCTTTCTAGCTTCAAATTAACTTTATTCGTTTCCGCAAACGCGTAAGAGTTTCAAAGAATATTCCATTGCGCGTGCATGCATGCGCTGCTTTTCACAGACAACGCACAGATCATTTGTCTCCTTCGGAATTATTCTCGCTTTAATTAGTCTTCATTTTTTCTTTAATTCAGTGGAATTGCAGAAACGTTTCTTTTTCTCTCTCTCTCTCTTTTCCCGCTTTTTCCCTTGATAAAGCCGTAAAAAAAAAAAAAAGAGAAACGAAAAAAAGAAGAAAGCAAGAAAAAGAAATTGCTGATTTGTTTGACTTTCACCTTTCTTTTCATTCTTTAAATCCTATCGGTTACGGCTCTAATGCCCGCGCAATTGCCACGTATGCATAATGCAGGCCATGTGTCGATACGTGCGCACTCGGCTCCTTTTGTAGAGAAACGACGACCCGCGATCGGGACCCCGATCGATCCGTACACGTATGAACAAGTTGACAAGTTGGAGATTAGTTTAAGGGGGAAACCTCCTTTATCGGGTCCAAAAAATCGATATTTTGGAAATAGTCTTAATCGATTGTTAAACCATTCAAGAATATTCCCTGAAAATTTCAAGTCGATATCTGCAGTATTTACGAAGTTACGAAGTTAAAGCGGACGGGTCGGGTGACGAGTTCAGACGGGCCTAGCGACCCTCAGGCGGTCGCGTTTATACCTGCGTTCTCGGAGCGTGTTTATACCTGCGTTCGAAAAGTCCGTTGGTAGAAATTTTATCTGTCTTCCCTTTCAAACTTGTTTTGACCTACGATCAGTTCGCTTTCGTCTCTTGTCGAGTGAATACGTTGCTGAATGCAGCATGACTTCGTACCCGAAAGCGACACACGGGCAGTCCAAATGTTCAACGAGGCCTCGAAAAAGGAAATCTCCTTGGTGTAAAGATCAAGAAAATGAAGCCAAAGAAAAGGAAATTAGTAATACGAGTGCTTCCAGTAAAAAACTAAGCAGTGCTAATGTTTTTGACGCAGAAGTGAATAGGGCTCATGCGTATAAAATTATATATTTTCTAAGCGTTTTTCAAATGCTCGT